GACATGGGTGGTGAAGGTATGGCAAGCTCTACTCGACATCCCTCCCAGTTTCAAAGAGAAGTTGTTGCAGGGAAGAAGAGAAAAAGGCCTCTTATTCCAACTGGAGAAAACGTCTGCTCTCCCAGTAACAAGTATGTGATGATTTCTAACTAAGAAGGATAACTTGTGGAAACTTTGATCGAAGCGACATTAGGCGAGATGACGCGCCACGCATTCAATCCTCATTCAGAACCGCCGTAGTATTTGGAAGCACGTTTGGCTCACACAATGGCTAAATAAAGGTCGACCAATGCATAAAACAGGGGATTAATATATTTCATGGCGTTTAGGGGGGACATTCTGAACAGGCATTCAAAAAGCGCTGGTAGGTGACACTACGACTAAGCCCAGGACTGGGAATAAACACAAGGGAGAATAATGGTTGCCCACAATTTCTTTCCCTTCCCTAAAGCTTAGTCCTGAGTTTTATCAGTGGCCCACCCACTCAATGTCCCCCTAAGGACATGAGCGCCTATTTCCGGCCCCCGCATTCGCAGTACTCACGAGATGTGATTTCCTCGATCAGCCTGAGCGGTATTCGAGGCAAGGTCTGACCCTAGACACTTACATAAAGCACTGCAAATGAACTTGCAAGGGAGGATGCATTGGTCGGCGCTCATCTCCTTAGGGGGGACATTGAAGTGAGTGGGCCACTAATAGAACTCGGAATAAGCTTGAGGGAGGGGAAAGATTCTAGGAGAGGCTGTGAGCAACCATTGTTCTCCCTATTTTATTCCCAACCAGATTGGTCCCCCGGCAACCGCCGGAACCTCCCTTCCCTGCGTAAGCTTTGCTTTCCTCCTCCTCTCCTTATCCTCCCCTCCTCCCTCCATTGCTCTCCAGCTGCCACAGCAGCACCTTGTGGAATGACCGAAAGTGTGCTAAGTACGTGTTTATATAGCCGTTAATTGATAGAGCAAGCCCTGTGAGCTATCCAGATTTGTTAGCGGCTTGTTTATTCCATTAGCTTATGGAGTGTTCATAGTTGGCGATTAGGCGATTAGGCGATTAGTCTAAATGAAAAATATACGTATAGATTAGGCGAGTAGGCGAGTAGGAGTATGCTCAGGCGATAGGCGAGTAGGCGATGTAGGCGAGTAGGCGATTAGGCGAGTAGGCGAGTAGGCGATAGGCGATTAGGCGATTTGCACACGGCGCACTCCTTAGTCGTCAAAATTGAGGCGCACATGCATATTAGCTTCTCACCCATACACTAGACTACTAGTTGGTAAAAGCAGATCTTGTCAAAGTGTTGCATACAATCCAGATATCACCTAATCGCCTACTCGCCTAATCGCCTACTCGCCTGATCGCCTACTCGCCTACTCGCCTAATCGATACGTATCCTTTACTCATCGCCTGATCGCCTACTCGCCTACTCGCCTAATCGCCTACTCGCCTACTCGCCTAATCGCCTAATCGATCCGCATACTTTTCATTTTGAATCATCGCCTACTCGCCTAATCGCCTAATCGCACGTACGATCGCCAACTATGAACGCTCCATTATCACTCACTTGCTTTGCGGACGACAGGCCAATACATGAATACTCCTATTTCGAAGATGAGAAGAAGATCGGAGTGCATCACAGTCACCATACCCGAAGGATTGCCACGAGAAACACCTTCTTCTGCCTCGTCGTCTCTTATGGTAGTTTGGATTGCACTCGAATTCTTCTCTCCTAACTTCCGCAATTGACGGGTAATCATACCATGACATACAGCACCGACACACCAAGTTAGCGGTTCATATAATAGAAGGATGCTGAGGTCGGTCCTAGTGTCACCTACCAGCGGTTTTTGGATACCCTGTTTTGAATCTCTCCCTCCCGCCCCGCCCTGAAGGGCGCGGTCGCGATTGTCGATGAATTGAGCACCCCCTTTTTTACATAACCCAATTTCGGTCCCGAATACGACCCGTTAGCACTTTTTTTCAGAGGTCGTTTAGCCGTGTTCATACTTAACGCCACCATCACTCCCCCCCCCCTGCTCCCCAAAACCGCGAATACGCCATTCTCTCTCACAGTAGCGACGACGATTGAACCGTCTGTTGGCACACACTCTAAGTGACTGACGATAAAGAGGGCTAAGAAAGCAGAATCTTGCTGATAATTATCGCTTTCTTTGAAGAAAAAGTGAGAGGGTGAAGTCCTCGTTTCGGGAAGTGAAATGTTGTAAAACAATTAACATCCAATTTCTGAGCGAATATGGGGAAATGACAAATGGCGCCGTCGTAATAGACGTGAGCCGTGGATCGAATCCAAGGTCTGGTTCAACCATGATCCTGCGACACCTGGGTATCCGACAAGAGGCCCGTCGCGCGGAGAGAACGCAGAGAAGCAGACGGGGGACGCGTCGCAGCGCACGCTGTAGCAATTTAGCGTCAAGTTGAAGTGGAATGTACGGTAGTACGTCCCATGTTGCGACTCGTCCGCTGATCCGTCTGCGTCTCTGCCTTCTCGCCGCGCGACGGGCCTCCTGTCCGCCCGCGACACCTTCATCCATCCTCTGATGAGGTACTTGGTGCCCCTTCCGAACAAAGCTAAAGCTATGGCCTTAAGTCGCTTTGCTTCGAAAATTGCTGCATATATCACGATTACTACCGCGAATTCAAATCGGCCAACGATTCTGAATGGAAGTCAAATGCGTGGCACATCTCAAAAATGGAGTTATCGACGCTAAACTTATTCCTATGCTATCACACTACTACTATCTACTACTAAGTATCTATTGTTATCTATTGTACTATTATCTACTACATATTAGGTTATTCTTTTCCGCCTAACATTCTTTCCTCTAGGTACAAAATAGTGAGTCTGTTGGGATCAGGTGGTTTTGGAGATGTCTACAAAGTAAAGCAAATGGGAACTGGACAATTCTACGCGCTAAAAACAGAAGATGTCGACATCGATTCGAGGTTGAATAGGTTAAAGGTACGAATACGAACCAACCTAAAATAATTGAGTTTCGAAATTGCAGCTCATTTCAGGTGGAAGCTACCGTACTCAGTGCATGTGGTACTGCTCAATACCGTAGGCACTTTTTGCGGTTGATCGATCGTGGTGTTACTCCGAAGTTCAAATTCATCGTGATGCCTATTGTTGGCTGGAGTTTGGACAAAATTCGTCGTGATGTACTGAATGGAGCGCAGTTCTCGTCAGTACCCACTTCATGTTCGGGTTTGCGATAATAACAGAGGTCGAAGAAGGGGAAACTTACCTGGTGGGAGACCCCTCCCCCAAGGGTGCGGACCAATACGCAATTCCATCGAAAGATATCCTTCGGGCGACCTGCCATGGCCTTCCCTTAGACGCTATTGGCCCGGAACGCCCAACGACTATCTAATCGCTTACCAGAGAT